CAGTTGTGGTTCTAGCTCTTTGTGACTTTGGTTGGTAAATTATTTACTGAGCCTCTTGTCCCTCACTCTAGTATAGAAGCAACAACAACCACAACTACACCACCTCAGGGTTTGAAAGGCATGGAAAAGTGTGAAGAATCACATATCCAATAATAACTGTATAGCAGATGCACGATAAACGTTTTCATTTATTTATATTAGCGTGAAGCAATTAATATGAAGTTGAATGCCAAAAAGCAGAAAGAGGTTACAGAAAAGGGCTGGAGAAGTATTTCATTCATTTATTCATTCACTCATTCACTGATTCATTCATTCAGTTGTTCAATAAATACTTAACTGTGTTCTAGCCCCAGAACTAGGTGCTGAGAATATTGCAGCAAAAACTATTGCAGAATATTATAGACATAGCCTTCCCCTTGTAGTCTAGTGGGGAAGACAAACAGTTACGCAAACAATTACGCATAGAACTATTTGATTATAGCAGTGATAGAGGCCACAATGAAAAATACAAAGTGCAATGATTGTGTACAACAGAGGACCAAGTAATCTGAGAGCTGGGGAGGGTATTGTTGCAGAAGTGACATTTAAGCCAAGGCGTAAAATATCAGTAGAAGTTAAGCAAATATGTAATGAAGTACTGAAAACCTACTTCCCAGATTTTCATGAGACTACGTCCATCCCCCGTCCATTACTCTGTTTCTCACCAATCGGCTAGAGCCTGATGTTCTGCTGTGTTTTATCTTCTCACTCCCTCGCCAGTTGGTGGAGCACATTGGCTGCCACTGCCTTAAAAAAGAATCTGGAAGTGTGGCTTGAGGAAAGATCACAGAACCCAGAGACTTTCACACAGCAAAGCACTAATGAGAATATGTCTCCGTTCCTAATTATAAAGAATTAACTGTTAAAAATTTAGTGTTTCTTCTTCTTGTGGGAATTCCCTTTGCCAAAGAAAAGAGCAAATGTGGTAGGCACAGATTCAGAGTCTGTCCATGTAGGAAGGTTAGAGTGTGACATCTATTATATGGCAGACATGTTTAGTGTATCATATAAATATGACTCCCGAGCACGTTAGGGCCCTGAGTCCTAACGGGGTTTTCTTTGACAGGCCAGCTAAAAGAGGGAGCCATTGGCAGCATCAATGAAAACGGGAGTTATGCTGCTGATAGTAGCCCAGCCTCCCCCAGGCTTAGGATCCTCAGAATACTTCAATTTGTTTACTCTTCTTTAGTTGATTTTTTTCTTTCTAACTAGAAACACATATTTATTGTAGACAAAAATAGAAAATACAGGTTGTTAAAAAGAAAGCAAAATAAAAATTAGCTCTTATCTCACTACCTGGGAAATATTAACAGCCATAAGCCTTTTGTGGTATATCCTTATATATAATTAACTTGAGATCATATTGATATCATACTGTTGCTTATCAGTCTTTTACAATTGTTTCCTTTTTTACAATTGTTTTCCTTTTTCCTTTTAACGATGAGTTACTTTTAGAATAAGCCTTAGGCCTTCTATGAAGCCAAATCTCCTAAAAGAAATCATTTGAGAAGATTACTCATCCTAATAATCCACAATTCACAGTCACTCTCAGGAGTTTGTTAACCTTAGGGATTAACAATAGGCCACTACTGCAGGGCCACGCAAGTAGCTGCTCATGTGGTGGTTTGGGGACTGCTAGGGTTGGGAAGCATTTTTGCAAATTTTCCCGGGAAAGTGTCACTTATGCTTCTCCCCTTCGTGTCTCTTCAGTTTTCAAAATCAGAGAAACAGCAATACCCTCAAGCAGAAAAGCGACTTCAACTGTAGTTGATAGGAGATCAGTATTTTGGAAGACGGCAAGAAAAAATCCATTGTGCATGAATTTGTAGATTAATAAAGATGAATTCGAGCTCTTAGTGACATGGTAACTATACGCCAGAGTTAGAGCTTGGGGTTAAACTCTGTGAGCCGCAGTTGCGTTGTTTCTTCTGTTTTGGGTTTCTAAGGTGGTTCACCATGCTGCCACACTGTCAATGTGCTCGAATTAGAGGGCTGTGCTTTCCTGTTCCACCGCCAAAAGCTTCAAACTCATAGCATCCTCCCCTAGTTTGTATCCCTCTAACATTCTGGGGCCATTATGCTCTAAACTTCCACACACACACCCATCAGAGGTGAGAGCTGGCTGTAGAAGGGACGGTGGGCAAATTCGCAGGACTTATGCTGGTGAAGGATAAGTGCGTTACTGAAATGATGCAATTAGCATACCTGTTGGGGAAGAAGGTGATTGCTTCATTGTTCTCAGGGCCCATATTGGCTGATTAAAGCAGAAAAGGAATACCACATTGACAAGCACATCCAGTATGACACACTATGGGGAGAGCAGAGTAGCAGCTCTGCCAAGGTGCCTACTAGGGTTGAACTTGGCTTGAGGTCCCATTAAGATTAAAAAAAAAAACAGAAGATTTATTTTGGGAAATTTTCTGCTTTCATTATAATCTTTGTCCAGAACTTCTGTTGGAACTTCAATATCTAAATGGCTTGTGAAAGGGAATTACAATGATCTGGTCTCTCCAAAATGAAAACAATTACAAGCAATCCAAGCACATAACATACTTGTTTGCCTAGCCATAACTATAGTAACTGATGACTTTTGGGGCACTTAACTATTTCGGGCATTATCTTATTTATTATCTCATTTAATTCCAACAACGACTGTATGAAATAGGTGCTTGGTGTTTGCTTGGTGTTTCTGAAGAGGAAACTGAGTCAAGGAAAATGTTCCCCCAGGTCTAGTTTGATTCTGAAGTCCATGTTGTCAACACTGAACTTTACCACCCATCTCAAGTTCCTTTGTTCTGCACTCGTGACATTCCTGCAAGAGCAGATGCTCTCTTGTGACACGAAAGAGATGAACTCGGGACGCTGAAGTGCTTCTTAGCAAACTGGAGAAGCTTTGCAAAGCATGCTGCTAATGGGCCTACTCCTGGGGGCTCGTTTTATTGGGCTCCTAATGCCAGGACAGAATGAGAGGTATCACTTAGATAACCACCTTAGAATGGAAACAGTGTGTAAAAAGGTGTGGTGCTCAGAAAACATAAAAAACATGATTTAATAGAGTCTGCAGTTTCGCTTTCACTTGAGGGTGAGGCATCTTCCAAGAGAGGAAAAAATGCTAGGGTCTGGCCCGTTCTGGCTGGGCTGTTTGGCTTGGGTCAAGCCCTTGACTTCTTTGAGGCTTCATTTCCTCATTTATTAAGCAGAAGGACTGAGCCGGATCATCCCCAGGGGGTCTCAGCTCTGAGTGTGAGATTGTTCTGTCTCTGCTGTGGCTGGGCAGTTACAGAAAGAGGGCAGCCTTTGCTTATCTTCCATTTCTTCCTTTTCCTCTAACCCCTCATATTAGGAAACAACTTCCCTTTGGAGGGTCAGGGTATAGACAAACTCGTTCTTTAGTCTAGAGTGAAGCATCACAATCTCAGTAGCTGGAGAGGTCTGATGGGGTGTATATATAAAAATCCCCAAACCCAAGAACCAAAGCAGTGGGCAGGGCCCAATGTATGCTCAATGCCATTTCCCTAAAAGCATCTATTGCTCTTAATCCTCTCTCTAATTTCCCCACTTGTGATAAAGACAGTGGTGTAGAGAAATACTTCCCTATTATAAGAAAAACAACTGAGCAGTTGCACTCTGCAAGCTACACAGAGCACGGTGGTGAGCTGGACTGGCCATGGGCCACCAGTTTGCTTTCTCTGCTCTGGAGGTTGTGCATCCTAGATCAACAAGTTGACACAATGTCAGCTTTAAAATCTTGAGGGAACTGTTGTATTGTTTTTATGCAGATCATTTCTGTTCACCCAGAAGCTTCCTAATGGTTTAGCTGAGATCTGGCCTTCTCAAAAGTGCGTACAGTTATTCTCAATTCCCTATGCAAAAGGAGGGGAAGTGAGGGAGTGGAGCCTGGCAAAGACCTTCATGGGTAATTTACACGGCTTTTGGAAGTCTATCATTTTCTGGAAGCAGCATGCCTTCCTAGTGTAGTACCTGGCATATACTGGGCACTGAAGAAACATTTATGGAATGAAAGAGTAGACAGACAGATAGATAGATAGATAGATAGATAGATAGATAGATAGATAGATATTTAATAGATGAGATAAAGCTAAGTCTTGTGTTGATGGTAAATAGACAGTTGGAGGTAAAACTGGGACTAAAACCCAGTTCTGCCAATTCCAAACACAGTGTTCATCCCACAGTCTTCTTCCTGTTTAATTTTTCTCATGCACAGTTTAGTTCCTCAAACTCATTCAATTGTGAACCCATGGTCTCCTAGATGCTTTCTCCTGCTCAAATGTGTAATGTCTTCTTAAAATTCGGCCAGGGGGATGGGGGTGCCCCAGCACTAAGCTGGTGGGCTGTGATTGTTGCAGCCACACAGACAGACCCTTCCCCTTCTGACGTAGAGTTGGAGATGGACACGGGGTAGACTAGTAGGAAGGAAAGAAGAGCTCTCTCTCCACTCCCCAACCCACCAAGTTGCCAAATAGCTGAATTCTTTGGGGTCAGCAAAGTGTTAAGCAGAAGCCAAGTTGCCAGCCCTCTCTGTGACACCCTCTTAAAGTTACTATTCAAATGTGATGCAAAATACTTCAACTGAGGGCCACATGCTTCTCCTCAGACTTATCATCAACAGAAAGCTAAAGGCTGCTCTAGCCCAGGATTGACGAAACTCTCTTGTCCTTGCCATCCTCCCCACTCGATTTCTCTTCATGGAGCATCATGAGGAATAATATTTCCTTCACATTGTTTGAGAAACACATTCTAAATGTTTTTGAACACGAAGTTGTTTCTAAACTTATTCAACACAAAGTGCTGTGCAAATGCATGTGACTTGAAAATGTTAAAGAATACAGTTGTTTCTACTAAGTTTTATGTCAATATTAATGTTAAGGTTCTTAAAAAATAGCTGTTGGAGAAAATTTTCTTTTATATCATTCATTCCTAATTAGGTAAAATTGCTCACTTCAGTAGGAACATTGAGAAATCAAAGAACTCCAGGCTTTTGCTGGCTGGCTGTCTACTGTCTGTCTGTCTGATCTCTCTTTATCATCTTAGTATGAACATTTTCAAACAAAAGAAAGAATAGTCTAATAAATACTCACGTACCCATTTCCTAGATTTAATACTTATCAGCATGTTAGCATAAATGCTTGACCAAGTTTTTTGTGCTGGAGTATTTTAAAGAAAATTACCGCAATGTCATGACTTTTACCCCGAAAAATTTTAGTGTGTGTCTCTAGAAAATAAGGACAGACCACTTCCTGTGTAACCACAATACCGTTATCTCACCTGACAGAATTGTCAGAGATGCCTCAACGTCATCTAGGACCAGTGTGTGTTCAGTTTCTCAGTTGTTCTCAGAATATCTTTTACAGCTGGCTTATTCAAACCAGGATCCAACCAGAAACCACACATTACATTTGTCTCGTAGGGCACATAAGGCTGTTATGTCTCCTTAGTCTTTTTAAATCTAGAACTAAATTATACACGAAAAAGCAAAAACAGAGAATTATGGAACAAGCACTAGGTTAGTGCTAATAGATGAAGTTTTAGCCCTGGCTCTGCCACTGACCAGCTGCCTGACATTGGGCACAGCACCCACCTCTCTGAGCCTGTTTGATCTCCTCTATAGAATTCAGTCACTTGCTATTCATTCTTTCATTCAACACATACGTATTGAGTGCTCAGTATAGCCTGGTTCTTGCACTGAGCACTGTTCTAGAAAGAAAGTGAGCTTCCTGAAATTGAGAGAATCCCATAATTCTAATTCTTGTAGATTATCTATGCTAGGATCCATCTCTTTGTTTCCTCTTCATTTTCATGGCACTGATTTACGGAGGATAAAAGACCAGTTGTCCTGTAGAATGTATCACAATTCTCGAGTAATTTGATTTTTTCTCCTTTTGTGATGTCATTTATCTTGTTTTTCTACCTCCTATATTTCCTGTAACTTGGAAGTAGTATCTAAAGACTTGACTAGATTTGGGTGAAATATTTTTGAAGAGAATATTTTATAGGTCATGTTGGGTACTTTATATTGCATCTTGTCAAGAGATATACAATGTCTGGCTGTCCTATTTTTGTAGTGCTAGGACTGATCTTGGGTCTATGTCACATAACCTGATGCCCCACGTTTTCCTCTTGTGACTACTGAGAAATCTGGTGTGGGAGAGCTAGTACTTTGACACCAGGTGAATGTAATTCCCTATCAACATTTCCCCTATTGTCCATAAATGATTCTTGCTTGAATCTACTATTTCTTTAGGGATTGCCAAGTGGTGATTTTCTAATTTTACCATTTCTTCTACATTTACTACTCAGTATTCATCCATAAAGAAGACCATACCTCACCAACTGGAGCTTAATGCCTAAAATAGAGTTATTTACCTATTTTCAGAATAAGGAGTTGGTGTAATGGCAGACTCCAATTATAACAAGTGAGAATCTACTTGCTTGTTTGCTTGCTTTCTCTTTTTGAGTATCATTGTGGACTCATGGATTTTTAGATATTCAATGAGCTTCAATCCTTTACAATCAGTTATTCATTTTGATGCTTAAGCTGTCCCAGCTTTGTGGGTGTCCCTTCAAGTTGGGTCAATATTTGAAGACAAAAAGTGCTGGAAAGACATCCTCAGAAGAAAAGCTACCTAAGAATTTGGCTGTGTCTGGTATTGGGCTAGATGTTGGGCACAAAGGGCCACATTCAGACTTGGGTTCTTCTATTGACACTTAAGACAGAAGTCTTGAAAGTCTTAGTGAATAATCAAGAGCAAACTGCGGAGTGAGCAGGTTTGCCTTTGAGTGTGTCCTCCTTCACCAGGCAAAGGGAGCAAATTGAGTCAGCCACGGCGCCCCGAGGATACAGTCAGGTAGCTGGTTCAGCAGATGGTAGCCAATGACTCAAATCTACAAATAGGTAAATCAGAACCGAGATGTGGGGTGGGTTTCAATTTTTCTGCGTGTGTTCTGTTTCAGCTGTTCTCCTAACTGCAGTTACAAAAACGAAATCAAAATGATTTCCGCATTGGAGGCATCAGAGTTGGGACGAGGTGGGCTGGAGGTGAAGGGGAATTGAGAAACACAGGTGTTGGGGAAAGAATGCTGTGTTCTTCCCTGAGTACTTATAAGCTGTGTGGCTGAGGCAAGGCAGCTGGCTCTCTTCTCTGGGCAGAGCACCAGTTCTCCATCCACAAAATGGGCCTGAGGCCTGCCTGACTGAGGCTGCGGCGATGGCCAATGGCCATATAGCAGATGTGGGAAGCGTTAGACTAATTGGAAGACTCATTATTGTTGGATAATTATCAGTAGGAGGATCCTGGCCAGTTGTCCTGTAGAATGTATCACAATTCTGAAACTGTCTGATGTTTTTCCCCTGTAGTATCATTTATCTTGTTCTTCTAGCCCTTGTATGTTCTGAAACCTGCAAGTAGGAGCAAAAGCTTGGGTAAATTCTGGTGAAGTGTTCTTTTTTTTTGTTTTTTTAAAGATTTTTTTATTTTTTCCTTTTTCTCCCCAAAGTCCCCCAGTACATAGTTGTATATTCTTCGTTGTGGATCCTTCTAGTTGTGGCGTGTGGGACGCTGCCTCAGCGTGGTCTGACGAGCAGTGCCATGTCCGCGCCCAGGATTCGAACCAACGAAACACTGGGCCGCCTGCAGTGGAGCGCGCGAACTTAACCACTCGGCCACGGGGCCAGCCCCTCTTTTTTTTAATTGAGGTTATGATAGTTTACAACACTGTGAAATTTCAGTTGTACATTATTATTTGTCGGTCATCTTACAGGTGCACTCCTTCACCCTTTGTACCCACCCCCATTCCCTTCTCCCTGGTAACCACTGATCTGTTCTCTTTGTCCTTGTGTTTGTTTATCTTCCACATATGAGCAGACTACTACAGAGTTTGTCTTTCTCTATCTGGCTTATTTTGTTAACCTAATACCCTCAAGATCCATCCACGTTGTTGTGAATGGGATGATCATTTATCATTTTTTATGGCTGAGTAGTATTCCATTGTATACATATACCATGTCTTCTTTATCCAGTCATCAGTCGATGGGCACTTAGATTGCTTCTATGTGTTGGCTATTGTGAATAATGCTGCAGTGAACATAGGGGTGCATGACTCTCTTTGAACTGCTGATTTCAAATTCTTTGGACAGATACCCAGTAGTGGGGTACCTGGGTCATATGGTATGTCTATTCTTAATTTTTTGAGAAATCTCCATACTGTTTTCCATAGTGACCGCACCAGTTTGCATTCCCACCAGCAGCGTATGAGGGTTCCTTTTTCTCCATAAGCTCTCCAATACTTGCTATTTTTTGTCTGGTTTACTATTGGTGAAGTGTTTTTGACAAGAATATTTTGAAGGCCTAATTACCTTTCAACTTAAAATAATAACAATAGGTACTATTTCTTCAGTGCTTAACTTATGTAACCCTTTCAACTACCTCTTTAATGTAGATGCTGTCGCTATTCCCATTTTACAGATGAGAAAATTGAGGCACAGAAAAGTTAAGTAACTTGCCCAAGATTACACAACTAATAAATGAAAGAAAGAGAATTTGAACCTGAGTTTTCAGGCTCCAAAGTTGGAGCTCTTAACTGCTCTGCTGGGAGAGAATACTTTCTGGAGAAACCTGTAACAGATGTCTGCATCATTTGATTCCTATAGCACAGATTGGAATTTTTAATTTGGGCTTCTACAGAGAAGAAGAACATTGGAGTTGGTGCTTCAGCCAACAAGAGGACCAAAAGCAAATTGTTCCATCCAAGATGAGGCTGTCCATATCTTTTTTTCGCCCTACAGTCACCTTGTCGAGTGGGTACCTGGAAGGTCTTGACTATCTGCCTGGAAAAGCAAAGCTGATGCTTTCTGTCATTTGCTATAATTTGGAAGACCCAAATCCATACTTCAGACAGCTTAGTCTGCCCTCCACAGACAGGAGCATCTCATTTCGGGGCAGTATAGTCCAGTGGTTACACACACAGGCTCTCCACAGAAGGTTTGGGGTTGAATGGGGCTCTGCAGCTTTACTTGTATTTTACGTTAGAAGAACTTGTCTAGGGTAGTGTTAAGTGTGTGAACTTGAGAGCAAGGCTGCCTGCGTTTGCAAGCGACACAAACAAAGCTTGGTGCATGGTAATCACTCAATAAAGGGCTGCTATTGTTACTGGAATGAATGGCTTTCTTAGCTCAAAAGTAGGTTATGAAGAGAATCTTTGGGCTCCTCTCTAGAGATTAAGACCAAGACACACTAGGCCAGAGATTCTCAACGAAGGTTCTAATACCACCTGCTGGGTGCAGCCTAGTTCAGGCGGGATGCAGAGTATTCAGAACAAGGATGAGGAGCTCCCCTCCCTCAGCCCTGCACACGTGTCACACCTGTGTCCTGGGACAAGCTGGTGGTAATCCCCACTCCCCCTGCCAAACAGCGAGTGTCTTTGAAGCACAACTTCCTGTGGATCCTGCCTGCTGTGCCGCTCAGTGTCTTGAAAAGAGCTTTCAGTCCCACTGACCCAGCTTGAATCTCAGTCTCCCCACAGAGTCACTGTGTGACTTTGGGCAACTTATCCAGCTTTTCTGAGCCGCTTCTCCCCATCTGTAAAAGAGAGACAATACCTATCTCATGGGTCATTGTGAGCACCAAGAACTAATAATACATAAAACACAAGAGCTTGGACCTCCAGAGGGTCCCTCCTCGACTATAACCACCTGCCAAGACTGCTGAGAGCATCTGGGAGACACCCAGGAACAAACAAGTCATCTTGAGTGCTATTTTTAGCAGGCAGAGTTGAGATCTTAAAATAGTGAATTTTTTTAACTTACTTTTTTCAGTCTGCTAAGCATTTCCCCCACCAGACACCCTAAACAGAAATGAGATAGTGTGAGAATCGCTAATTTCGGAACCGGAAGATTCCAATAAAGGCACAGTTGATTCTAAAAGAGTAATTTGTTTATCCTTTTAATCTTAAAACATGTAAGGTTGGATTTTTTTTTAAATGCTCAATCTAGAGTAGTCAAATTCCTAAAGACAAAGTAGAAAGGCAGTTGTCAGGAGCTAGGGGTAGAGGAGAAAGGAGAGTTCTTTTTTAACGGGAACGGAGTTTCAGTTTAGCAAGATGAGGAGAGTCTGTGCATGGAAGCTGGTGATGGTTGCACAACAATGTGAATGGACTTAATGCCACCGAACTGGACATTTAAAAATCGTGAAAATGGTAAATTTTATGTTGTGTATTTTGCCACAGTTAAAAAAAAATGTCAAAACATGAGTGGACATAATCTTAGTTCACTAAGCCTCTGAGTCCTGACAAGGCGGCTAGATGGAGGCACATCTGGCTCCGTGTTCTAGATTCTAAAAGCGCCAGTCACAGCCGCTTTTCAGAAGCAGCTTTCCTGTGTGTGGTCCTGGGGCGCCGGCTGCGGCCGGTCTCGGGGCATTCCAGGGATCTGGACACTTTTGTTTCATTTCTAAACCTGAGTCCCGCTGAAAGGAAGAAACCTATTTGTTGAGGACTGTGCTAAAATCAGGTTGGGGAGAATTTTCAGGGAAATAGCTCCATAAATTGTGCGTAGATGCAAAACTAACAGGCACATGAAAGATTTGTATTTTGAAAACAAAACCCCAGTGGGATTCTCTCAGCAGAAAATGAAAAGGTCTTCTTAACATTCAGTTGAACTATTAGAGCCATTTTTGCTGTTGCAAGCACTAATGCAGGTACGGACACTGCCGCGGCCCCAGATTGCAGCGCCGCAAATTAGCAAGGTTTTAACTTGGCTGCAAATATCAAGCTGGCTGCTTGTCATTATGCAAAAAGGGATGGGGGTGGGAGGGGGACCAGCACCTAGCGGCAAAGCACATTATAATTGTTTAAGCAGGCCCCACAAGTCATGCATTTCAATTATTTGTTCAAAGCAGCCTGCAATTAGGAGTTGCAAACAAGGCTTTTGAATGCAAAGTCAGACAATTAAAATGTTTCATGAGTGCATTAGAGAAAGAAGTTCTGAATTAGCACTTTGAATACACAAGACCTCTTTTTCTAATCTCTAGTCTCTTTCACCCTTTGAAGAAAAAAAAAAAAAGAGAGAGTGAAAGGGGAAAGAGATGTTTTGGGTTGTGGTGGAGGTGATTTTGGTGTTTACTTATTTATATCAAATGCCTGACTAATCCAGGGAAGATCGAACCATCCTAGTCGGCCCCTCCTACATTTCAACGTCTCTTGTTACTTGCCAGATCCCGGTCCCGAGCATAATGGCCCAGGTGCCAAAACCCCTCTCCCAGGGGGGTTGTAAATCACTTTAAGCATCTCTCCTCCCTCTTCCCTCACCACTCCCTACTCTGTTCTTTGAAGAAGCGGGTCTATTTGAAGCAGTGATTTGTGACTTTCCCATATTAAGGGCACAACCCTGGGCTGGTTGCACTGACACACAGGATGGGAGGAATGAGCGCCCCGGACAGTGTTGGGATCAGGGAGGAGAGAGGCCGTGTATCCTGGGGTTGCTGGTGAGCAGAAGCTGGTGGCTCTGGGGAAGCATGAAAAATACACTAACCTGCCTTCCTTCTTTGAAGGAAGACCAGCTGCTAAATTCCTTCCCCTCCCCCACACGCATCTCCACCCACACATCCCCTTCCCCACACCACAAATACCCTACTGATATTTAAATTTTATTTTATGACTTATTGCACTGTAGGGCATCTTTAAATTTTTTTAACCAGAGAGCACACTTTTAGGAGAGGGAGGGTATATCTGACATAGGGAAAAAACGTGAACATTCTTCTTTCAACCCGTTTTCCCATGAAATAGTAAGACTTCCTTGAAAGCAAGCAAGTTATTTGTGCAAGGAATCAACTGCGAGTACAAAGCAAGTGCTTGCAACCCAAAGCACTTTATGCTATTGTTCAACGTGTGAGATTAACCAGGAAAATCCAGACAATTTATGGTGAAAATGGCCAGCATATCAGTAAAATGTGTGTATGTGTCTGTGCATCCAGTTTAAGTCTGGTGAGTGGGAGCCTTAATTTATCATTTCCTCACTGTAGCTGATTTATGAAAACATCCCTTAAATAATCCTACTTATCTTCTTTTATAAAGAAAACTTTTTTTAAAAAAGTTATGTAGTTTGGGTTGGGGACAGTTCTTGAAAAAAGAAAAAGAAAGCGCACTCCCTATATGGATATTTTGAATATTACTTATGTAATTCTTTTTTAATTACTTTGCCTCCAAGCTATGACTGAGGATTCAGAGCACTGTTACAATGGCAGGTTTCTGATAGGCTTGATGAGTCCTTGTATGATCAATACATTCTGTTAGTTGGAAAATTATGTTTTTCCACGGGAAGTATTTCTATTTATGTAGGTCTATGTAAAAATAAGTTGTTTTTTCAATTAGGGCATGCATAACTAAGGATGCTGACATGATAAG